TCCACAATGTTTTCGCTGGTCGAAGGCGCAGCGTTTTCTTGTGTCGGCCATTTTTTGCTCTGCTCTTCGCCTGTCGCCGAGGTGCACGCACAGCCGGAAAACTAATTTACGGAAGCCCGGTCTGTACCACGCATGCGCAGCAATAGAAACGCGTTACATTATATCGAACAGTTATCGAGCTTCTATTAAAGTTTTATCGAGGAAATTTTTTATCGCAATAATTATCATTATCGTTTTATCGCCCAGCACTATTTGGTACCTGTTCGTCCCCCTAAACTATCCTTTCCTGTGGTGTCCCCCAAGGATCTGTGCTTGGTCCCATTTTGTTCTCATTGTACATGCTCCCACTGGGATCTGTCTGAAGGAAATACGGCCTTTCATTTTATTGTTATGCGTCAACAAATGAGCAAACCATGGGACACACAGCAACAACACGCAGCGAAGAAACTTTGCCGTCCAGAGACAAACGTGTCTGGAAAATATTCTACCAACACTTCTTTCCTTTGCCACTTTCCTTCCTATTCTGCTGTTTCAAAACAGCAGAATCTGTTGGATTTAGATTTAAAGACAGCCTTTTCGGTTCACCCTTACTCCTCTCGTCTGCAACGCTAGAAAAATTCTTCTTCCATTTCCTGGTATGGGCGGAGCTAGAATTCCTTCTTGTTCTCAGGCATTTTAATCTTTCTTCTTTTGCACATCTGCCATCTGCCATCTGCTGGTATTCTGCCCCAACGTCACCACAATTTGTGTTGTGGCCTCATGTTTTTAAAAAGTAATAAAGTACATTACTCAGTGTGATGGTGTAAGATTGTTTGGTAGAATGTCTAAAGTCTGACCAGTAGTTCCACAATCCGTGAACCATGTGTAAAGCTGTGACCAGTAAACAAATGACAGTTTGTGCTAGAGGTATCTAAACTCAATCCAAGTCTGTCTAATAGAAGGGTCCTGGAGTAAATCCTCCTTCATGACGGTGATCACTTTCAGTGTGTGCTCAGTTTCACAGAGGTGTTGATTGAACTGTGTGATAAGTCTTAATATCATCAAGGCTAAATAAACTCCATGAGTAGGTGCAAAGTTTATGTAGAGACAAGCACATGATACATTGACAGAGGTTCCTGAAGTGATTGGAGCAAAAACTTTATTTTTGAAGTATAAAATAGCATAAAGCATGGAGCTACATCAGCGCTCTACATCCTGTCTTCATCTCAAGCCTCACTACGTTAAATCTACAGAGCAGTCACAAGCCTTGCCACAAACATGAGCGCACAGCTGTGATCACTGCTGCTTCTGCTGTTGGGAACCTAGTGACTCCATCTCTACCTCCATGGGCTCCTGCTGCTCTCGGTGTAGCTGTGTGGAGGCAGAGCTGGAGGACGGAGTAGCAGGAGTCTGCTCAGGAGGCATGCGGGGGTAGAAGGGACCCACCAGCCAGTTGAGCGGCGTGTTGTTGACCAAGTAATCCATGACGTTGTCCAGGGACTGTTTGATTTTGCCCAGCTGGACTTGGCTGCTGCTCAGCACGCTGTCTGGCAGGTCTCCCACCACCCGGGCTTTGCTGAAGCTGCTGTAGACCCGAGTGGCAGAGCGGCCGAGGGAGAGCGCCTCCTGCTGGACGTGGTTGGGGAGACCTTGCAGGCTGGAGACCAGGACCAGGCAGGTGGTCTGCAGCTGCTGGGTCAGGGACCGTGCCAGGGCCAGAGTGCGAGACTCGATTACCTGAGTGGGCAAGATAGACAGAGTGAGATGAGCCGTGATGACAAAACCAGTGTTCAAATGAAACAAGCTGGAATCCGAGTTCTTGACAGTATCTTATCTCCCAGCGAGTTAGTGTTTCCCAGTTGCTCACCTCTGCCTTGTGACTGTCCTCCTGGTCTGGACTACTGGACTTCCACGACAACACGGAGCTGAGCTTGCTGTTAACCATCTGGTTAGTCCTGTCGATGTTATTTCTGCCAGACTGAATCTAGAAAAACAAAACACTTCAAATATACACTGCTGTCCATGGACAGTAACAGAAGTCAGTGTTTATCCTAACTGGGCTACTATTAATGACAGGGAGACGCACCAGGTCAACAGTGGAGTTGAGCTCAGTAATGAATTCCATGCTGCGCTGCTTGCCATCTCGGATTCTGGCTACAGCGCTGGTGTACGCCCGCTTCCTCAGCTTAACGGAGAGAGAACCCAGGCGCACGTAGTAGCTTGGCTCCTTCTTATCAAAGCCCTGGGAAGATTTCTCCTCCAGTTCTGTCACAAGGGTATTGAAACATCTCATTAAAACAAGGACAGCTACAGTAACAAGTTCAGCTTAGCGTGGAGAGGTCAGCTAAAAAGTGTTGTGGTGTTGGCATTTTGCACGTTACAGTAGCTTTAAAGCCATGAAGCATAGACCCATTTACTAACACAGTACATGACTGTGTGTTCTGAACTCCTGAGGTCTGAGTCAAAGTTAGATTCTCAGAAGTGTACAAGTCCTGATTTCATGGAGACTGGATGAAATCCATTATTTACAAATTCCAGCTGCCTCTTGACAGACCCTTGATACAGAAAAACAAGCCTTATCTCAGCCTTTCCTAATTTGTATTTTATTTATTTAAACCTCATTAAAGCCAAAACACTTTTTTTTTTCTTTTAAATGTGAAACCAAATAGTATCTTCCATCCATTTTCCTCCGCTTATCCGGGACCAGGTCGCAGGGGCAGCAGTCTAAGCAAAGATGCCCAGACTTCCCTCTCTCCAGACACTTCCTCCAGCTCCTCCGGGGGAATGCCCAGGCGTTCCCAGGCCAGCCGAGAGACATAGTCCCTCCAGCGTGTCCTGGGTCTTCCCCGGGGCCTCCTCCCGGTGGGACATGCCTGGAACACCTTCCTAGGAAGGCGCCCAGGAGGCATCTGAAACACATGCCCGAGCCACCTCAGCTGGCTCCTCTCGATGTGGAGGAGCAGCGGTTCTACTCTGAGCTCCTCCCGGGTGACCGAGCTCCTCACCCTATCTCTGAGGG